ACGGGCCAAAGATAGCTCATATCCCTGCCATTAGAATCGATTAAGGTTGGTATGCAACTTAAATTTGTAATGAGAATAAAATATATATTTTAGTAGTTTTTTTCCTTAACACTACTGTAATACTTGTCATATATATAAAAAAGAGCATAAAATTAAGGAAATTAGAGAGACGTAATTCTCAAAACTTCTCATAAAACAGCCAATTAAGTTATTTTGGTTACTTCAAAACAAAAACTTGTATAAAAAAATATCAATCTCATAAACAGTCTTTTAGCCTTTATGAAGACGTAATTAATTGAAACTAATAATATTTTGTCATTCAAGATCGCCGTGGAAAAATATTCGCTCGATTGCCTTTTATCCATTTTATTTTATTTCGATAAAAACGATCTTCTCACCTGAAACTTTTTAAACTCAAAATAAAATACAAGTTCCTCGCACATTCAATTTTTTCCTTTAATAATATTTTTATATTAATTTATTTATTTTTTAAATAATTAATTTAACCGAGTGCTTATTTGATTTTTTAAGATCTAGAAATATAATTTTTATATTAATTATATTTTAGTTATTAATTTTTAAAATATATTTTAATCAAATCATACTTAATTAAATCATCTCAATTTAATTCCTATTTACAGATTTTTAATGTATATGACCTATATGACCTATTAAGTTTCTAATATATAGTGCAAATATAAATTATAATTAAATAAAAATAAATAAATTAAACAATTTAATTTATTTATAAATTTAATAATAGATTAATTTATATTTGAAAACAAGGTGTATCATCTATTAAAATATCTTGATTTTTTAAATATTAAAAAAATTATTAGTGGTTTGACTTAACTTTTTAGTGACTAGTTTCTCAGTGTAATTAATATCATTTCATCAATAATATTTTAATTTAATATTAGTACTTATAAGTAAAGTATGAAGTATGTTTGTGATGTTAAATCATGTTTATTCTCTATATAATAATCATTGATTGTTTATATAAGATTTTGAACTCTTTTTAAATTTCATTCCACCTTAATTAAGAATTTCTCAGTCAATACTATTTGAGAATAGATAAAATATATATATTTTTAATTCATTTAAGATGATGAATCCTCTCTTTACAACTTAAGTATTTTTTTTATTTTAATTTTAAGAATAGTAAAGTGACAGAATTGTCTTTAAAATAAACAAATTTATAAATACAGTTTCAAAGGGAAGGTTTTGTTATTTTTTTAATTTTTGGTTGACCTACAGGTTGTTTGATAATTTTAAAAATTAAAAACTATTAAAAACTATTAACATGTGTAATTCAAATGTTAGCACATACAATATCATTCAGTGATCAAAATCAATCATCTGTAATGAAGTTTGGAGTGACGAATTGTCTGTTTCGTATTAATAAGAAGTAGTTATAATGGTTTTAGAAAACCTTAAAAAAAAGGGAATACCAAGCGCATAAAGATAAAAAAACATTAATAAAAAACAAAAAAATATATTTCCATCTAATAAAGGTGTTATAAAAATAAATTAAGAATAATAAAAAAAATTCAAACAAACCTGAGTATGCTAATCGGCGTACAACCATGCACAAGATAGTTATAATTTTTAAAAAACCTTAAAAAAAAAAGAATACAAAGCGTATAAAGTTTAAAAAAAAAATGTTGTCATCTTTCTAACACTATCTTTAATGAATAAGCAATTTCATCTTCTCTGCACGTGCCACCCGTGAATAAAATGCACTATCTATAATTCTTCTTTAAATATTATTTTTTAAATATCAAATTACCCATGTCTTAACCCACAATTACAAAATATCTAAATTAAAAAGACAAATAAACCCTTTAACACTAGTTTAAAAAATCTTGACTTGAGAGGTAAGTAAGTAAATAAATTGCATTTTATGAAAAAATATTCGTTTGATTGCCTTTTATCTATTTTATTTTATTTCTATAAAAACAATCTTCTTTTAAAAATAATTCAAAATTATGTTTGTTTCTTGAATAATATCCATATATTAATTCAAGAAAATATTAAAAATAATATTAACTTAATTAAGTATTTATTTGATTTTTTGAGATCTAGAAATATAATTCTTGTATTATTTATATCCTAGTCGTTAATTTTTAAAATATATTTTAATAAAATTATACTTAATTAAATTATCCTAATTTAACTTTTATTTAAAAAATTTTAATGTATGTGACGTATTAAGTTTTTAATATGTTGTTTCAAATGTAATTTATAATTAAATAAAAATAAATAAATTAAATAATTTAATTTATTATCAATTTAATAATAATTAATTTGTATTTGAAATTAATGTGTCTTAATTTTTTAAATGTTACAAA